TTGTGATGGGTTACCGATCGAAGAGGGCTGGTTCAAGGAAACGGGTAGCGGCAAGAAGGAAATGGAAGATGAGGAGACAGCAGAGTTTCTGTGTCATTTTAAGTTTGCAAAGGGCGATCACCACGCAGCAATGACCGACTCGATGTTCATGGAGTGGCTTGAACACCGCCTTAGCCCTGCGTACAACGCGATCCCGGAGTTCAAAGGCAAACGGATGATTCTTGTTCTTGACAACGCCTCATACCACCATGGATTTGACGCGGAAGTCAAAGTGCCGGAAACCAACACCAAGAAGCACAACGTCGATCTGTTGCGTATGTTTGGGGCCAAGTCGATCAGGGTTAGGCGTAAGGAGGGCGAACAGGGCGTTGTTGAGTACAACTTAGAGGTACCGACAGAGCCTGGTTCTTCATTCCCTGCAGGGAACAGGGAGGGCGGTGTAAGCAGAGCGGAGGTAGCAACGGCCACTCGGGAGTACATCCACCTCAATCACCCTGAAAGGCTCGAGGAACGGGTGGTGACGTTCATGAGGAAAAAGGGGTGGGCGTTGATTTGGACGCCGCCCTACATGCCGTCCTTTCAACCGATCGAGCTTTTTTGGCAGCATGGTAAGCAGTACGTCAGCCTTAACTTTGAGTTGAAGCGAAAGATGCGGGAGGTGTGGGTGCAGATTCGTAAAGGTTGGTACGGGGACAAGGAATGGCCAGGCCAGGAGGGGGGGTGGAAGGCAGCCGATTGTTCGAAGCTGGTTGACCACGCCATTGGAGAGATGAATAAGTGGGTCAAGGACCGTGATGGAGTGCTTTCTGGTACGATAGGCAGCCTCGAAAAGCCGGACGGGTACGATACAGATGATGTGTCGCCCGTGGGTGATGTCGAGGAAGGGGTAGGGGAGCAGATCCAGCAGGAAAGCGCAGAATGGGGTGATGGCAGCGACGAGGTTGAACCATGATGAGATTTTTTTCAGCCTTGTGATCAATTGCTACACCCATGCACTGGGTGTACCATGTTCCAACAGCACACATATGTGATTGCTGTGCGCGGGGGGTTGCGTCCCTGCTTCCAGCTGCTGCAGTTCTTGAAAAAAAAAAATCAAAAATATTCAATTGTCGACAAGTCTTACCCCGGATGCAGCTTGCCACACGTCAATTGCATTCATGTTCTATCTTCCTGCGTATTGACCGCCTTCGTCATGGAAGCGTTTTGCGCTACTGTATGCTGACAGGCGCTTAAAAATGTTGAGTTGCAGGCCGAGAAGTGGGGATACCAATGTTGGCCGCATGTTGCTGGGCATTTTTTCCGATTTTGAATCTCTGCTCAGGTACACGACAAGCCATAACTCAAGCAATTTGATTTTTTTTTTTTTAATGTCTTTTTTTCATCGTTACCGCCTTTTCCCTGTCGTCAATTTGCGCTATCGTCTGCTGTGCTGCGCATCGCATTGCGAAAGTTACACTCCGAAACGAATATCTATTAAATTGCTCCTATTAACTATGTGCCACCGTAATAGTACAGTATCGAGAATCGGTACTGAGGTTTGCATCAGTACAGTCAGTATGAAAAGCCGTACTATAAGCAACAGTATGTTTAGTACATTATGGAGAGCGGTACTAAAATTGTTTTTAGTACAGCATGGGAAGCCCTACTAAGTTCAATAGTACGATTAGTACAGTATGGAGAGCTGTACTAAAGTGTTAGTATCCCAGTACTGGGCGGTGGGGCGAAATACTTACTAAAATACTTCAAAGTACCAATAGTCTAGTATGTACTGTACTAAACCGACCCTTGGAAAATAGACGATGTGTCTAGTTTTCGGCGTCTCTGTATACATTGTTCGTCACATTTCTTGAAGGCTTCGTATATTTCATGGTGTGTGGAGTAGGTCATCTTTGATGTTGTTGCACGAAAATATATTAACTCTCCAATTGCTTAACTTTACATCAATGGGTCTACTGCGTAGGTACACAGGTATGCTGCACCGCTGTACAGGCACATGGCTACTACATCTGCTGTATGGAAGGTAAATTCGCAGTCCACGCACTACTACACACTGCTGTAGCTTAGTCTAAGCAGCACTCCGTACTCAGCACACCTTATGTGCGAAGGAAGGAGAAATGACTGCTGTGACGCATACACACACGCGAACAACCGCACTAAGACTGACGTCTTTTCAATGGTCAGCCGGTTAGCGCGGTCGATGCTAATAGTAAAAACACACACACACACACACACTTGCCCAGCTACCGACAGGACTGGATCTGATTGACTCGCTGAAGAAGCTAGAGGAGATCATCACCAAAGACAAGCTTGAAAAAGCTGTTGGGCAGTCATGGGCTAAACTTGCCACAAGTGATGAGTTAACCCCCGACCTCAAAGGAGTTTACCTGTTGGAAGCAGGGAAGGCGGGAAAACCCAGTGAAGATGGAAAACCTGACGTAGAACATCAACCGCCGTCCACCTACAGCCGAAATGAATTTGGTCGACACTACCAAGTCTTTGGGGCCCAAGCTCTCCTTTCGAAACCTCTTCATGCAGCAGTGCGTCACATGGTGGAGATAGACTTGCAGAAAGTAGTAGGCGAGGAAACGCCAAAGAAGAGAGCGTTGATCCGCTTGGAGGAAGCGAAAGGCAAGGGAGTTTTGTCGTGGTTGACAACGCAANGTCCTCAAGACACTGCGCGAGTGCCATATGCCCATCGCCGTTGAGGATTCTTCCCCTTTTACCACAGGCACTGGTAGGGGAAAGGGGCAATACAAGATGGATTTGGTTATCCCCCCAGGATTACACGCAGGAGAGAAGGAAGGAACTCTCCACCAAGTCCATTCTTTCAGACGCAACAATCGTCAACCCATCCGCAGGTCGAAGCATCGAAAAGTCGATCCTTAAGCCAGGATCCGCCCTCGAAGATCGAGCTGCAAGTGAGGCAAATCACTATG